GCCATAGATTGGATTTTTTGTTAGTGTTCACTGTTCAGCCTATTTAGATTGTGAATAGCGAAAAATGTTACCCGTTTTTGAGTCGTCAAACATAATATTATCCGATTATCCGATGTTCCACTTGGTGGATGAGCTTATTCTTATCACACTGCGTGCGTAAATCCACTTTACATATTTCAGCCGACGGTACCGACGGTCATATTAATAAACATCTGTTGATATGGTTTGAATTTAAATCTCTAGCTCATGCTAACGATCCCCCATTACTCGCTTAGAACATAAAATAACATTGTCGTAATTATTCATAACAGGAGGCAGCAGGCACCAGATATAAATTAACATTTGCACGAGGTCACCCTTACTTTCATGATCCTGCCGAAAATAAGGGTCCTAATTCTCTACAGCTAACGACCAATCACAGCTTCAAATGTTTAAATACCAACTGCTCGAACCAGGGCCATCAGTTCGCAGCCATGAAATTAGAGCCTGGTCCTTCCCACACCGTGAGAGGACCAAGTCTAGTAGTCACGTTACTCCTTATATGGACATCACGTGGCATCTAAAGATCTTGACAACCAGCACGTGGGCTTTATTAGCTTTTAATATCACCTTGTCCTCCTCGGGTGGTCGCTGTTTTTCCATCAGCAGCAGGGCGTTTTGCTAATATACCTTGAATCACTTCTCATATCTTAACCCTGGTTCAGATCGATTTCAGGGGAGGGGGGTAGCAACGGATAGTGTGATCTGATGATACACGTTTATTACCGTATTAAAACTGGCCGCTGTTTCTATCTTGTTAACATTTATCTCCTGTTCTGTTAATAAGTCAGATAACGACTATTTGTTCACTTTACTGCAGACTGTTCCTGCTCACATATGCTACCTGGCTACCTCTATAAATGTATCTTGTGTTTTTGGATCATGTACGTTGGGGAGACGTGTTACGCTTGAAACTGCCTCGAAGTTACCGATAATGTAATGACGTTGTTGTTTAGATGTTCCATCCGGTAGTAATTGTTACCAGATAATTAGATAATTATCAGATAATTGGATTATCTGTAATGGATTCTCATCAAAATGTCACGGCTGTTTGGTCGAACTAATTTAGCGAGCTGGAGCAGTAGGTCGGAGTACAGGTAGAACATTACTGATGAAGCTTCCATACGCTGGGTTTATTTTATCTACAAGTATTTGATTGAGCCAGCAATTCTCCGCCATAATTTTCTAGTTCTACTGAAGCATTGTTTACAAAACAACCTTTGTTTTCCTTACAGAGTTTCAACAAACATCCCGCTAAGTTAACTGTGAACGTTCGCTCATTATTTCTCCAATATTATTTGTTGCTAAGCTCAATCTCACCACGCTAATTTTTTTCTGTGACCTATTTTATTTTTAGTTACTCTTGAATAGTGCAGAAAAAAACAATTAATATTATCCTTGATCTGTTTTGACGCAAATTTTTTGGTTTTCGTGACTTATTATATCAAACAATAATCATTAATCATGCATAATCGGATCACACTGTTTACTGGTTCCCCATTCATAAACTTTCACAACAAATACTGCTAAACAAGTACTGACTAAATTAATTTTCAGGAATTTGTCTGCTAACTATGCGCATTTTATTTTGTGTCATGATCAGATATCATACGAACTAGTTGAGCTATTCAGTTGCTTTTAAAATTCTGTTTCATTGTCAATTTCCTGGTTAATTAACAATATTATTTTAGCCTATTACATTCTAATATGAATTTTTACTAACCCATTTTCAGTTATAAACGTATTTATATTTACAAATAAGCAAAATGTTCAGGACTTGACTTATTCAATGCTGTGAAATTCGCACTGAACGTATTATTCGAACTAAATTCGCATACGATTTTTTCTCTAAAAATTGCCGTATTTAAAAAAATATAGTAGTTGTTTCACGATAGTTCATAGTTGGTTTTGTATGGTGAAATATTGATAAAACACATAACATGTACTTCCCGCAACATGTTCGTGGTTACTGGTTAGCGATCAAGATCGCAAGGGGTTAAATTTAGCTCATAGTCATACCGGAATTGAAGACATTATGGAGTAATAAACTTGAAATCACTTAATTTCCTCCACAGTCTACTTGTCGAGATTTGTAAGTTCGAGACTTGAAGTATAACGTCACATATCCAACTAGATTATAGATTATAGACTCTAGAATGCTGCAATGCTGCGCGTTCCCACAGCCGCATTTTTACCGAATTTTCTGCGCATTTCTTGGCGAATGTAACAGCCCTAAAAATTAAAACTTGAAGTAGTAAATTGGCGAATTATTCGCGTTTTTTTTGAGAAATCTAAATGCGCCGTATTTTTTGACGAATATTTGTCGAATTTAACAGCCTTAGACTTATTATTTTATCTTCAATTTTTATTCCATTAATTTGAACTGAAAAGATGTTATTTTATTTTCAAATTTTACTAAGGAATGATCAATGTCCTCCTCACGGCAGTATCGTATTTTCTTCTACAGCAGGCTGCCGCAATAAAGACAATCAGTAAGTACCTTATTTAATACGTTATTTTGTTTTTAACGACTTTTAAGTTACAACACATTTTAATTTACAAGTGAGACAGAGCCTACATGTTATACTTATATAACTAGTTCTGTAGACCTGGTTGATTTGATTTGATTTGAAACTTTTACAAAATAGCAAGTATACAAATGTACAGCAATTCGAACAAACATAATATAAAATGGGCCGAAATGTATAAATGCTAAAAAGCGTGGGTCAGTGAAACAAGTACAGAGGACAACTTTCAGAACAGGAGTTTTTTGGCCGCCCAAAGTCTCAATAACATCACCTCCACCTAGTAATAAAATTATGAAACGTGAAAAGTGTGAAACAATCAAATAATAAATAATAGGTTATGGGATGGGAAGGTTAAAACCTTCCCATCCCATAACCTATTATATTTAATAAATTTAAGAGTGTTTATGTAGTGTTGTAATTAGTTTTATTTAATTAATTGTAATCAGTTTTATCTGAAACGTAAGGTGACCTGCATGTTTAAAATCTTTCTTTTCCTCCTTTAAATGAAGTACCAAATAAGTTTCTCTGAAATAATTTACTCCTCACCATACTAATCTAATTCTAATATGAATTTTTACTAACCCATTTTCAGTTATAAACGTATTTATATTTACAAATAAGCAAAATGTTCAGGACTTGACTTATTCAATGCTGTGAAATTCGCACTGAACGTATTATTCGAACTAAATTCGCATACGATTTTTTCTCTAAAAATTGCCGTATTTAAAAAAATATAGTAGTTGTTTCACGATAGTTCATAGTTGGTTTTGTATGGTGAAATATTGATAAAACACATAACATGTACTTCCCGCAACATGTTCGTGGTTACTGGTTAGCGATCAAGATCGCAAGGGGTTAAATTTAGCTCATAGTCATACCGGAATTGAAGACATTATGGAGTAATAAACTTGAAATCACTTAATTTCCTCCACAGTCTACTTGTCGAGATTTGTAAGTTCGAGACTTGAAGTATAACGTCACATATCCAACTAGATTATAGATTATAGACTCTAGAATGCTGCAATGCTGCGCGTTCCCACAGCCGCATTTTTACCGAATTTTCTGCGCATTTCTTGGCGAATGTAACAGCCCTAAAAATTAAAACTTGAAGTAGTAAATTGGCGAATTATTCGCGTTTTTTTTGAGAAATCTAAATGCGCCGTATTTTTTGACGAATATTTGTCGAATTTAACAGCCTTAGACTTATTATTTTATCTTCAATTTTTATTCCATTAATTTGAACTGAAAAGATGTTATTTTATTTTCAAATTTTACTAAGGAATGATCAATGTCCTCCTCACGGCAGTATCGTATTTTCTTCTACAGCAGGCTGCCGCAATAAAGACAATCAGTAAGTACCTTATTTAATACGTTATTTTGTTTTTAACGACTTTTAAGTTACAACACATTTTAATTTACAAGTGAGACAGAGCCTACATGTTATACTTATATAACTAGTTCTGTAGACCTGGTTGATTTGATTTGATTTGAAACTTTTACAAAATAGCAAGTATACAAATGTACAGCAATTCGAACAAACATAATATAAAATGGGCCGAAATGTATAAATGCTAAAAAGCGTGGGTCAGTGAAACAAGTACAGAGGACAACTTTCAGAACAGGAGTTTTTTGGCCGCCCAAAGTCTCAATAACATCACCTCCACCTAGTAATAAAATTATGAAACGTGAAAAGTGTGAAACAATCAAATAATAAATAATAGGTTATGGGATGGGAAGGTTAAAACCTTCCCATCCCATAACCTATTATATTTAATAAATTTAAGAGTGTTTATGTAGTGTTGTAATTAGTTTTATTTAATTAATTGTAATCAGTTTTATCTGAAACGTAAGGTGACCTGCATGTTTAAAATCTTTCTTTTCCTCCTTTAAATGAAGTACCAAATAAGTTTCTCTGAAATAATTTACTCCTCACCATACTAATCAGTAATTGTATTTGTTATCCAATCCTAAAAATTAGGGTTTAAATCTCAGAAAATTCCAGATTGTTCTTATTTTGGGGACCCAAATGACAAAGCTGAACTTAAGATATCAGCATACTGTACAATTGATCCCGAGGAGAATGGCAACTGCGCAAACATTACTATAGATGGTCGAACTGGTATGTTAAGTAATATATTATAATTTTGTGATCATATAAGAGAGGCTCCGAATATTTAACGATAATTCTGATTTATTTGATTTCTTGTCCGACTTAAAGATGCATATTTGGGTATAATCAAGATTCTCAACCGTTACTAGGTTACTAAATAACTAGGTTACTAAATAACTAAGTTACTAGTTCGTAGGTTACCAGGTTACTTGAACAACCCCTCAGTACCAGCAGATGAGGTGCTCTACGACGAGTCACGTGACAGTAACAAGTTTATAGGATGCAGGAATAACAAGTGGACCGACCCAGAGAGAGTATGTAGAATGGACGCTGCTATGAAGTGTGATGGAGTGTCGCACTGTGGTCCGTTATTTTATGTTTCCTTATCTTTATCATTACTTTGACATTACTTATGTTTCCTTATTTTTTTTATCAATAAACTTTCAAATTGTTACACAAATACATCATTTTATTTCAAAGAAAATTTCGCCGAATGACCTTACATGCCTTAACAAGTGACCGAGTGTAAACAAAATTATCTTTATCATTACTTTGACATTACTTATGTTTCCATGCTAAGTTGTAATGTATTTCCTTGCTAAATTTTCAGTTTCTTTCGTTGTTCTTTCTTTATTATGTACTCTGAGTTGAAATCTAACGTGCAATTTACCTGTTCCGACCGTTTCTAACGCATTTCGCAGTATATTATTCGTCCATGACATTAATTAGATATTAATTAATTGATTAAATGTTTTGGTAAATAATTCATAGTTAGATTGGTCGATTAAACATGATATTAATTCACTGAATAATATCCCTGGTATTTCAGATTCTGACGAATGTGACTGTGACCCCGCTACTCAACCTAACATACAACTATTCTACTGCCCTAACACTATTGTCGGTGGTAAGTCGTGCTACAACTCTGTCTAAAACAACACAATGTGCACAAACTGATCGTTTCTTCAGATTATAAAGGACCGATTATCAATCGAAGTTTTAGATTTATCGAAAAAACGTGAATATAAATCTTAATCCTTACGGACACTGAATTTCTAATGTATGTTCAATGTGAAAGTTACAAAGTTACGAAGTTAGAGTTCATGATCACTTCAGGTGCACCCACAAGAGGAGGTTGCATAACTGAACAGTTCCTGTGTAACGGATACAGCCACTGTCCTAACGACCACGACGAGTCTCTCTGTTACAACGTTCACACGTGGGTATATAATGATATAGGTTACTAAGTTACTAGGTTACTAGGTAACTAGGTTACTAGGTAACTAAGTTACTAGGTTACTAGGTTACTAGGTTACTAAGTTAGATACTGTCCTAACGACCACGACGAGTCTCTCTGTTACAACGTTCACACGTGGGTATATAATGATATAGGTTACTAGGTTACTAAGTTACTAGGTTACTAGGTTACTAGGTTAGATACTGTCCTAACGACCACGACGAGTCTCTCTGTTACAACGTTCACACGTGGGTATTTAAGGTTACTAGGTTACTAGGTTACTAAGTTACTAGGTAACTAGGTTACTAAGTTACTAGGTTAGATACTGTCCTAACGACCACGACGAGTCTCTCTGTTACAACGTTCACACGTGGGTATTTAATGATATAGGTTACTAGGTTACTAGGTTACTAGGTTACTAGGCTACTAGGTTACTAGGCTACTAGGTACTAGGTTACTAGGTACTAGGTACTAGGTAACTAGGTTACTTGGTTACTAGGTACTAAGTTACTAGGTACTAGGTTACTAGGTTACTAGGTTACTAGGTACTAGGTTACTAGGTACTAGGTTACTAGGTTACTAGGTTACTAGGTACTAGGTTACTAGGTACTTGGTTACTAGGTTACTGACACTGTAACTTAGTAACCAGATATTTTACTGTCAGGAAAAAGTAAAATATCTGGAAAACAAAAACACGAATAATCAGCTTTCAAAGTTTTAAAATGATTAGATAATCGTTTCTTCAAATTTTGTTGACAATACATAATCATTAATAGGTATTCAAAAGAAATACATATTTGACAATATAATCAAATATAAAACGTAAGGTATTCACAAGATAGCAATTGAACTGAATAAACTTCAAACACATTCTGTAATATCAAACTCGAAGTTCTATTCATACGGCTACTCTTGAACAATTTGACTCGATTTTAAGGTTTTATCTCGAATGGAACCCGTTTGTAAGACCAATTATTCGGATGATCGTTGTATTGGTCGTTGAAAAACTTTTGATTTCCCACAGTGAAAATAAAATACAGTCGAATAAAACTTAAAAATCGTCGAGTTAAGATATTCTATTATTTCTTTTAGTAACAACATAATTGGATATGTCATACGCAACATATGCACCTTCCCTCACCCAATTAGTTACATCTGGCAGCCACAGCTTCCACCAATCAAACCTCCCTGCTACTTTGACCTTGTTTTCAGGTCCCACGTTTTCAGGTCCCACGTTTTCAGGTCCCACGGTTTTAGGTCCCACGTTTTCAGGTCCCACGTTTTCAGGTCCAACGTTTTCAGGTCCCACGTTTTTAGGTCCCACGGTTTTAGGTCCCACGTTTTCAGGTACAACGTTTTCAGGTCCCACGTTTTCAGGTCCCACGTTTTCAGGTCCCACGTGACTTGAACATATGCTATATTCGTACATATCACTTGCAGAGATTACATCATGCAGGTGTAACCCCACATGCTGATATTTTTCACTGCTGGTGCAAAGTTTTTGTACCCAGTTATCCGAGTCTGTTCTGATATACTGTAAGATAAACCCACATCTACCGGTCTTTGTACAGGGTCCTGTGTTAGGGTGTTTGAACATATAGTAGTGTGTGAACACAGTCCCTATAGGATATTCCTGCTTATCTGATGTGAACTTCTGTGTTACAGTGTTCAGTAGTAACCCCCATGTGACCGGCGTATCGTTACTTTCCGTAACGCGTTTAATGAGCATTTTCTCATGATAAGTTGATAAGTTATCACTATTGTTTATTTCATTTAAGACTGAGATAAGCTGGACTCTCTGAGGTAAAGGAGAATATTCCAAGCTATTTGTTATTGTTTTTAAATATGATCGCGAGACTTTCTGGAGTTGTTTGTCCTTACAACTATTTCTCTCTAGTGCTGTTATAAATAACTGAATTTCCTCTGTGGTTGGTAACGTTTCTTGCTTGTAGAACCAGTGAAGCAGCATATATTTTTTTTTTTTTTTAAAGAGAGGCTGGGCCTGGTTGGCCCACGAGAGGATAGCATATGGATGCTTTGCCTACCTCTGGGGTATGGCAGTCCTGTGGGAGGATGCCAGCGGAATCAAGATGTGTAATCACGGATGATGGTAAGTGTTGTGGGGTGTGTTATAGATAAACGGTTAAGTGGTGGTTGAGTGTGGAAGAGAGGGGCGAAACAAGACGGCGTTAAAGTAGTCGCTATGTTACACCTGTCTGGTCCAACTCCTCCGGCACCACTAAGCGTTTAGTGTGGTTTGTAAAGTTGACAATGGTGGAGATGTGTTGGTTGTCGAATATGTCATTGACAGAGAGGTAGTAGTCCCGGAAATATTGACCTCTTATTTGGGCAATAGCCGGGCACTGTCCGAGAAAGTGTGAGACAGTCTCCTCTCCGTCGCCGCATTTTGGACAAGCACTTGTGTCTGATTTGTGAATGGTGTGTAGGTGTTTGTTGAGGCCACAATGTCCCGTGATGAGGTGCACTGCAGTTCTGTAATTTTGTCTGTTGTTACTGAGTGTAGTGTTGAGATTTTTGATGATGTTGATGTTTTTATGTCCAAGTGTCAGTTTAGTGTGTCTGGGACCATTAGTAATCCATGATTCTTGATTAAGTTTTGTGACTTTGTCGTTGATCAGGCGTTTGATGTAAGATTGTGGAATTGGGCAATTCAAAGTGGATTCACTGGTTGTGCCATTTTTGGCCAGCTCGTCTGCTTTTTCATTACCCCACAATCCGATGTGTGCTGCTATCCATCTGATCTCTAAGGTGTTAGTGGATCCGAGTGTATTGAGGGTGTCGTAGCAGTCTCTAGTGGTTCTACTCCTCGTTGAAGGTGAGGATATAGCTTGAATAGAGGAGAGACTGTCTGACCATATGATGATATGTGTGTTTGTGTAAGTTGATAGATATTTACAAGCTTCGATGATGGCAGTGAGTTCAGTTTGATAAACGGTGCAATAATCAGGAAGCTTGAATGATCTTTCATCTAGTGTAGTGTTGTTGTTGTCTGTGGTGATAATATAACCAGCCCCGCTACCTGAGTCTGTGCGTGACCCGTCTGTGTAGCAGGTGATGGTTTCACTGGGGATGTTGTCGATGGTGTTTTGGAGTGAGCCTCTATATTCAATGTTGTCAGCTCCAGGAGTGGTGACCGTGAAGCGTCGTTCAAGCATCATGGTTGGTATAGATAGGTCTCTCTCTGCTTTGGGTGGTATGTTGAGGTCTACCATGAATTGTTTGTTGATAGTGGTGTGAGTTGTGATGGTACCTTTTCTGGGGGCGATAGTTTCGAGGGTTAGGCTTCCATATGCTTGAAGCCTGGCTGTGCCCTTTGCTGCTTCACCTCTCAGGAAAAGTATGATATCTGGAGTGTTAGTGAGGTGGTTCAGTGCGATGAAGGGAGTACTAGGCATGGCACCAGACATCATTCTCAATGCCAATGCCTGAACTCGTTTGAACTTCCTCGCGTTGGTGTCTGAAGCAGCATATCAACAACAACAAACATTGAAATGACATTTGTATCCTGAACTCCGGCTGCTATATCCGTTAGATTGTGGTAACTGCTCCAAATGACGCTATTTTTTTTCCAATCATATAAATCAACAGTTCTTTTTTTTCTCTCTTCGCTGCCGTATTTGACTGATTTAGTAGTTTCTGTTACAATCTTTAAAAATGATTTCATGTCTTCCATCGAAATGTCTGGTAAATTATGTATTTCTCCACAGATTTCAAGATAAATGTCTTTAATATGTTCAAAACGCAACGCTATATTCAAATTATCGAGAAGATATTTCGCATTGTGACCGATCTTTCTTTTCTCTTTCATATTGATAAGGATGATCCGGAGAAACGGTTCAGTGTTGATTCCTCCTACCTTCATGATGGAATCTATCTGAACCTCGTACAATGTGTCTAAATCCACCAGGTACTGTGACACAAAGGAACTGTTGTCTTGATAACACACTCTTGATATAAATAAACCATCCATCATTTCTTTATCATTCCACTTTTTAATCATGTAGACACATTCCTCAAACACAAAACATTTGTCCTCATATGTCCTGGCAGATTCCATCTTATTTATCAGCCACACTTTGCAGTGCCTTGTCATCCAAACCACTTCGTGCACTACCGCAAGTTTGTTCAGTTCCCTGAACTGGGCATTTTCTACTCTCCCAAGGTCCTTATCGTCTAACAACGTCACGAATAACGTTACAGCTTCAGGAGTGAAATCATCAAACTCCAGCTCTCTTTGATGCAGCTCCTCAATGATGTAACGGAATATTCTGCTGTCTTCAGTTAGTCTTTGTTTTGAAACGTTGATAGTGTCTCCGTCCTGCAACTTGAGTGTGATCGTTTCTACGCCCATTTCCTTGATGAAATATTGATTGTTGCAAGATTTTGCCACGAACATTTAGCTGGTTTAAGATCAGAAATTAATTTAAGGCAATCGGGCAATTAATAAAACACATCGAGCTTCAACTATCTTGTTGTGTGTATATTTATGAACGAAAATTGTTTGTTGGATAACTAATAAATGTGGATTCTGGTGGAGAGGCGAGGCATATTTCTTTGCCAAATGACAAGAACTAACCAATCATTTCCCACTATTGAGATTTGAGTCAATAGTGGAAGATGATGAAGTATTGACCAATCAAACCCCAGAATCACTGTCACGTGTCCAAAAAATATGGCTAATCTCCCCACCATAATCCACATCTATTGAACGGTTAGTTAATTAAAACTTCAAGGAGAAACATAGCGATAGAACAAAACACAGAGGTAATGTCAGAAAGTATTACTAGGTTACTAGGTTATTAGGTTACTAGGTTACTAGTTTACTAGGTTACTAGGTTACTAAGTCCCGGACCCGATAGAACAAAACACAGAGGTGATGTCAGAAAATATGGCAGAGTCAGCACTCACTCACGAGTTTTGTAATTTGATATTCTGATAACACCGTGCAGCATTATTATTGGACAAAGGCTCTTATCAGGAGTAGTATTTAAATACTTTCAACACTACTATATATACTGTATATAACAAATAATTTGAGATCATTAATACGATGTTGTCACATTGAAACGTTGAATAATTCCTTTCCTCCTGATAAGATAGTATAGAGATAGGAGAGATAGATAAGAGTCTTTTCCTTGTCGCAAATAAAGCCGCAGGCACTTGGTTTAACAGTTTTGTTACACTAGTGTTACACTGGTGTGTTACACTTATGTGTTACACTTGTGTGTTACACTTGTGTGTTACACTTGTGTGTTACACTTGTGTGTTACACTTGTGTGTTACACTTGTGTGTTACACTTGTGTGTTACACTTGTGTGTTACACTTGTGTGTTACACTTGTGTGTTACACTTGTGTGTTACACTTGTGTGTTACACTTGTGTGTTACACTTGTGTGTTACACTTGTGTGTTACACTTGTGTGTTACACTTGTGTGTTACACTTGTGTGTTACACTTGTGTGTTACACTTGTGTGTTACACTTGTGTGTTACACTTGTGTGTTACACTTGTGTGTTACACTTGTGTGTTACACTTGTGTGTTACACTTGTGTGTTACACTTGTGTGTTACACTTGTGTGTTACACTTGTGTGTTACACTTGTGTGTTACACTTGTGTGTTACACTTGTGTGTTACACTTGTGTGTTACACTTGTGTGTTACACTTGTGTGTTACACTTGTGTGTTACAGTAATATTACAGTAAATAAACCTCCCCAGATGTAAGAACGAAGAGTACATCAAAAAGGGAGGTCAAAAAGAGTACGTCCCAAATTACCGGGTTTGTGACGGTTACTACCACTGTGAAGACTTCTCGGACGAGGACCCGGCTGTCTGTGCTAAATACAATGTCTCCAAGAAAGAACCTAGAAAGTACATCAGGTGGGTTTTGGGAGTGTTTGTTGACCTATTATTTTGGGAGTGTTTGTTGACCTATTATTTTGGGAGTGTTTGTTGACCTATTATTTTGGGAGTGTTTGTTGACCTATTATTTTGGGAGCGTTTGTTGACCTATTATTTTCAGAGTGTTTGTTGACCTATTATTTTGGGAGTGATTGTTGACCTATTATTTTGGGAGTGATTGTTGACCTATTATTTTGGGAGTGTTTGTTGACCTATTATTTTGGGAGTGTTTGTTGACCTATTATTTTGGGAGTGATTGTTGACCTATTATTTTGGGAGTGTTTGTTGACCTATTATTTTGGGAGTGTTTGTTGACCAATTATTTTGGGAGTGTTTGTTGACCTATTATTGCGGGTTTTAGAAGTGGGTACATTCAAACAAGCAGAGCTTCGTGTAGATTATTGTATCCCTGCTAAAATGAGAGCCTGGTTTTATCAGGAACGTTTGTTCACGTCAGAGCGGATCAAATTCCAGGATTGTAATAATATATTATTTTATAATCCCAAGAGATTTAGCTGCACTTAAACCTTTGACCAACGTTATAAAGATTTCGTTGGAAGTTTAACACTCATTCGAGTTGTCCGATTGCGAGAAATATTTATTCTAGATCTATGTAAAATTAGTCTCGATAGACACGTGGGAAAGATGATATATGATCCCAGTAATGTTCTGTAGCGATATTAGATTGGACTGGATGGGAGTTGCTGTGATATGGTCTATCTGCTGATTAATGAAGTAATATAGCAATCTTATGATGATATTTTTGTCCTGAAGCGAACAAGAGCTAATTATAGTCTATACCCGGGTTCTAGCTATTCTATAGACTGACCTGGTGTGAACAACATTGTAGATTTGTATATGGATGGAAAAGTTGCTCCTTTCTAGTGACAGTATGGAACGGTGATACTGGGACTCGATTGGTCGAGCTGCAATCTGATTGGTTTATCGCGGTGACAAAACAAACCATTAAGCACGTACATTTCCAGGGAGTAGAGTCAAGTATCCAGGGAGTAGAGTCAAGTATCCAGGGAGTAGAGTCAAGTATCCAGGGAGTAGAGTCAAGTATCCAGGGAGTAGAGTCAAGTATCCAGGGAGTAGAGTCAAGTATCCAGGGAGTAGAGTCAAGTATCCAGGGAGTAGAGTCAAGTATCCAGGGAGTAGAGTCAAGTATCCAGGGAGTAGAGTCAAGTATCCAGGGAGTTGAGTCAAGTATTCAGGGAGTAGAGTCAAGTATCCAGGGGAGTAGAGTCAAGTATCCAGGGAGTAGAGTCAAGTATCCAGGGAGTAGAGTCAAGTATCCAGGGAGTAGAGTCAAGTATCCAGGGAGTAGAATCAAGTATCCAGGGAGTAGAGTCAAGTATCCAGGGAGTAGAGTCAAGTATCCAGGGAGTAGAGTCAAGTATCCAGGGAGTAGAGTCAAGTATCCAGGGAGTAGAGTCAAGTATCCAGGGAGTAGAGTCAAGTATCCAGGGAGTAGAGTCAAGTATCCAGGCTAGTCATAATATTCATCAGTTTTCTCGCCTTATTAATAAACACTTGCCACCCCAGATGCCTGGACGAAGATTCCAAACCAATAAAGATAAAGATCACAGAAAGATGTAACGGGAAGAAGACTTGTTACAAACAGTGCACTAACTACAGTTTACCCCTGGACCAGAGTACATGTACAGACTGGTCAGATGAGGACGGGTGTAGCGAGGAAGAGGGGGAGGTGGAGGAGGCGTATGTGTGTGAGGGGGAGGGAGTGTTAAGATACCCCGGGATTGGAAGTGTGATACTTACCCTCAGTGTCCTCGTGAGTTAGAACTTAGACTTGTTATGTGTTTTTATTGTATTTTTTTCGAGGCCAGATAAAACGAGATAATTTGGTGAACGTTTATTATAGATTGAGCAATGTTTAGTCGCAACGCCAACACGACTTTTAAATTAAGTGAAAAGTACCATACATGAAACATGACCCTTTATTCTGCTCAGTTGGTGACGATGAGTGTAATTCCGACTGTGACTACTCTAGATTCTGGAACAACTCTGGTCAATCCATTGAAAGGTACTGTCTGGTAACATTTCACAGTTTGAACTGAATGCTTCTGTTTGGATAATTTCCGATTTCTGACGTGATTGTTATTGTTTAAATATAAATTCTAATATAAATTCCAGGGTAGATATTGGGGAGTACTTCAACAGCACGCCCGGATTCTGTAAAAATTTTGATAATGTCACATGTAACAAGAATGGCAAACACTTCAAATGTGACAATGGAAAATGCGTGTAAGTTTCATATGGATAAAACTACCAAATTTAATAAAAGGATAAAATAAATCGCCTTGTTAAAATATTCAGGCCTTTTTCATAGATCTAGCCTTGAGCCACGATGAATTAAGAACATATCTATTAAGCATATTTTTAAAACGAAGATAAAAAGAAAATATCTAAGTTAATTGTGGCTCATCTCCCACTACATTCCAAACAATACATACGTTATCTTGTTGTATTATCGTGTTATCTCAGACCGCAGATAGGGGTTTGTAACACACTAGATAATTGTTATCTTGTTGTCTTATCGTGTTATCTCAGACCGCAGATAGGGGTTTGCAACACGCTAGATAACTGTGGAGATTGGAGTGACGAGAAGGGGTGTCCCGGCAGATTCTACTGTCAGAAGAAGAAACCGCTGTAAGTTAATTATATACTAATAAGTACTACATTATTATATACTACTACACATAATAAAATATCTTCGTTGCTGATCCCTAATTATGATGCTAACGAAGCTGTATCTTTATAGCTGTTGGCAGCTGATCAATGGAATCATTCGAGAACGGTCGGAGTCATAAATATGCTTTATAATCTGGACAAAACCTCTACCACCGGCCCACCACCGGCCCACCACCGGCCCACCACCGGCCCACCACCGGCCCACCACCGGCCCACCACCGGCCCACCACCGGCCCTGAATCACCCATTTCAACAATACTCCCTCAGATACGTACCCTGGGAGAATGTATGTGACGGAGCCTCAGATTGCCTTGATGGGAGTGACGAGTGTCAGGATTGTAACTTTGATATCCTGGCTAACGACCAGAGTCTGATAGCTAACAGTATACTGTCTGCTCTGGTTTGGGTCATGGGTACTATTGCTCTTCTCGGAAACTTGGTGAGTTTTATTTTAGAGAGTAGTGGTGATTGAGTTCAGTTGGGCGGTTCATGTTATTATCAGATAAAAAGCACGAAACTAAATCATTAATATATCTTCAGATCCTAATCCTGACGAAGGGAAACGAGTTGAAGAACTCCGGAGCAAAGATGAACAGTGTCACTAAAATCAGCACATTACTTCTTGTTAATCTGGCCATGTCCGACTTTTTGATGGGGGTTTATCTCATTGGAATAGCCGCCATGGAAAGGAAACTTAATGGTTCGTTACTCTTAATTTTATATTAATTCATCTAATTAATTAATTTTCTACTTGCTTTATGCTTATAGTTTTACGTGTTGAGTTTTATTGTCTGTGGTTCTGTACCCATAGGTTATTGCTATATTTAAGATGATTATTGAGGATTGGAAATTATGGGATCCCCTGAATTATAACAATATGAACAAAACATTTCCTTGTGTTTAACATAATGACGTCTCCATCAGGTCATTACTGTGAAGAAAGTAAGCGATGGAGGAGCTCATTCTCCTGCAAACTATTTGGTTCTATCTGTCTCCTCTCCTCCGAGTGCTCCATCTTCATGATGACTCTCATCACTCTTCACAGACTTATCTCTGTTATCTTCCCTCGCAAGATATCCACCCTGGGACGACGTTAGTGTTGGCGAATAATACAAATTCAAGTAGCCAAAATTCAAATGACTCAACCATTATGACTTATGAGCCGTGTATACTGTATTTGTTAAGCATATATTATAGAGATTGTGTAGTGTTCTCATTTCTTTGGGCTCCTTCCTGAATTTTAACTCCGAATTATCTTGTCTACAGTTTAGAATGTGAAATGTATGGATAAAGTAAAGAATAAACTCACTATCTACACATTTACAGGAGGTCTGGTAGCCTGGTACATTTCCATAGTATCAGTCTGGATATTAGTGCTGTGTCTTGCCTGGGTGCCCAACATGCACGTAAGTTCAAATCAGCGAATAACCAGTATTTCCTTTTATATCCTCGAGATTGGGTAGTCAAGTTTTAGGTATCACAAACTTTGAAACAGGCGGTTCGTCTGTAATCTCGACTGGAAAAACCATGAATTTCAGCCTCATTAAGAGGTTCGGAAGCTCGTGTTTTGATTTACAAATTTAATCAATATTTTGGTTTTGAGAATATTATAAAATTCACTTTCCTCTTCTATCTCAAATAACTGAACTTCTGCAGGCATTACAGGAGTACTTCGTGAGTGAAGCTTACTATCAAAACAACTCCTTCTTCGGAAAAGGAGATAAGAAAACTCTGCAACGTTACGCTTGGCTTTACAATAAGACCGTTCCTAGCGGCACTATCCCACCTGACAACCTAACCATGTCTTGGGACCAAATATTTCACAGTAAGAACTTCCACTTCCAGAATCCATACCAAAGATGTTATTCTCGACCTGACCCTAACTTTTTTATTGTTCGACATCTTTAACACTTTGGCATTAGACCTCATTAGATTCGATTTAATCCCTAATATTTGGGGATGAGTTATCTGAATTACACCTGACCACCACCTGCCCATAGTAATAGAACAGAGCGGGCTAGGTTCGACCTACAAATACTACGGTCTAATGGGATTCTACAGCTCCCACGGAGTGTGCCTACACAAACTCTTCACTACCACAGCCTCCTCAAGCTGGATCTACAGTCTCTCCCTCAATATCTTCAACTCTTTCTGCTTCATCTTCATTGTTGTCTCCTACTCTTATATTCTAACCGTCTCAAGTTAGTTTTTAATTTTATAGTTTGCCCACTTTGTTGTTTGTTTGATTAAAATAATATCCCAATTTTGGAGTGAGAACACGAGTAACAACCATACAGTTAGTAATCTAAACCACCAAAAACAACTATAGCTACATTATGTAGTTGTCCAGTAAACCCCCTAAAACCCCATAAAACCCCTCCTAAATAACCCTCTAAAACCCCCTACAGAGAAGCTGTCCTCTAAAAGCTCCGGTCGAATGGCACGTAAGGTTCAAAGACTGGTGCTAACAGATGCACTGTGTTGGATACCGACATGTATCTGTGCCTATCTTTACATTGCTGGAGTCAATCTATCAGACGAGGTTAGCTTTGATAACCTTAACTTATTTAGATTTATAAGAACCGGCAGAGTTTTGTCAGTAAACCAGTAATGAATGTTGTGGGATGAAATGTTAAGAGGTGAAAATTGTACCCAAAATATTTTCGAAAGTAACAGCAAATATTTCAGTTATACGCCTACACTGCTATCCTAATTCTCCCGATAAATTCCTGTCTAAACCCTATCGTGTACACAGATATTATAGACCAGGTACTGTCTTGAAGCTCTGTCTTAATAATTAAAATATTTGTTGACGTGTTTGAAATTTGTAATGATTAAGTTTGAATCTGGTTGATCTCATTACTTTTTTAAAGCTTGTTTGATCGTCTATTCTGAATTTTCCAAATATTTCCAATCTCACCCCCTCCATCCCCAGGTGCACGTGTGGATACTAAAACACGTGGTAAGGGTAGGATCAGATAGCTTCAACAGCTCCCCGAGTGTTGCCACCATGGGGGATAAAGTTCACAACCCAGTGGATCAGCTCACAGCTATACAAGAACAAAGTGTTGTTCACAGTCGTACTGGTACTGCTGGACATAACGATACCAATCACTTGCAGGTGGGTTGTAGATTTAGTTGTTTTTAAAAGCGGGGGTACTATATAAGTATACTCTGTTCATGCGTCTTTTCCAATTAATTGAACCCCAAAACATTTAAAGCTTCAAAATTACTGAATCATGTGTGCTAAATAATTATGAATCTAAATAATTATGAATATGTTCAATATACGATCTTATGAACATAACTAACCTCGGCTTCTTTTCTCAGACTACAACACTGGGGCCCTCTGAACCGACGATAAATACCAGGTCCTCGTTAGCAAAACTCAGTCCACGTTCTTACCACCCTCAAGACGGATAAATACCAGGTCCTCGTTAGCAAAACTCAGTCCACGTTCTTACCACCCTCAAGACGGATAAATACCAGGTCCTCGTTAGCAAAACTCAGTCCACGTTCTTACCACCCTCAAGACGGACCCAAGTCTTAATTATTTTATCTTACTGGGGGCTATTATTGCTAAATCGCTATTAGTATTAATAGTTAAAATGTTGCCAGTTTCATAACCCTTTCTACATTCTAACTTTATTGAAGTGTTGCCCATTCCTTTCCTCTTGAAATTCTCAGAGCCAGAATAATAATTTGGTGGATGCGTCAAAATTGAAGATTTAGACCTTGAAAACTTAGATTTTTTCACATTGAAATATTTATGTTTACTGATAAAAGAGGTGATCTAAACACTAAGGTTTCCCCAAAGTTTTACTATCCTTATTGATCGATATCGCTGTCTATCATAATTATCATAATTATCAAATAAACCATATTTTTATTATATCGGAATGCTGTTGCTTTGTGTAAGCAACATTTTTAATGGTGCTACCTGAGGACCCCAAGCTATTATGTTCATAAACATAAAGATGCTGCGGAATGACAGGCTGAGCGCCGCCCAGTAACTGCCAATAAGCTATCATGGTTAGCATACACATTTCGGGCCTCGAAATTTTAAATACTTTGTTTGAATAGTTGTACTATTTGTAAATGTAATTGAGCTGTACTATTTTGTAAATATTTAGAAATCGATTATATTCTTTGAAAAGTTGGTTTTGGCCTGTGATTGGTGATTATTAATACGACTGAAAGTGAAATCTATCAACACGTGAAGTCACGTGAAGTCATGACATTGACATACGTTGCATGCCACTTTTGCGATACGTAACATGTATCAATCATGACATAGCCATTAGCCATACAATTACAGTTAATTAAACCCTGATTTATTGCGGAGTTGGGGGAGGGAACCATCCGCGATGAATATCGTTAGCTAATATTATCGATCATGCATTTTTAGCCCTATTTATAGGAAGAAAATTGGACATGACCACGGTAACGCCGGGTTTGCTTGCGGTTAATCATATAAGGAAGCGGGTTGCCAAGGAAACCCTACCGGTTAGGGTCTATCTTCGAAAGCAAAATAGATATAGTTGTTCATATATTACGTAATCTAAATCAGCCGAGGAGGGCAAGGTTTCAAATGATTACGCTAGTGTATTTTTACACAATAGCTATGTGTACTGATTACGCAGTATAGTAGAGGGGAAAATGGTTACGAATTGGATGATGATTAATTACTCTACACTCGACTGTGACGTGACTTAATTATTTAAACTATGTCATGTTCAAAATGTCGAGTGTAAAGTGATTAATCATCATCCTAACTTTAGACTAAAGTTTAGTTTTACATTTTACGAGACGAGCACTTTGCTAAAACCCGTGCTAAATCAGTATCACTCTATAATAGTCTATACTCGATCTTCAAAATTATTCTCAAAGGATCCACGACATGACACTGCACGACAGTTGAAACCAGCTTGAATCTATGTATTTTCGGACGCTGATTCCGAATCACCCCACATAATATAGGGTTAAAATGCTCCCCTAGCGAGATATCGGCGAAAAACTGTCTCGATCACGTGATATGACCATATTATAACTATAAGGAAGTTTGTATAATTTCTTGTTAGGGTTTCAGTAATATGTATGCTTCATTTAGGGATTGATTAACGGTTAGAGTTCATGGAATCAGATTCTGATTAGAGGGTACGGTTTCAAATATTCATTCAGGGATACCTTGACCTTACCCTTAGAACTCACTGGTTGCTGGGCGGCGCTCAGCCTGTCATTCCGCCGAATCGCTATGTTTATGAACATGATAGCCTGGTACTGGTGTCCCCAGGTAACTAGAGATCAATGTGAATAAAACAGAAAATGTCCATGTCACGTCACAGTCGAGTGAATAGTGATTAATTATCAAGCTGCACGTTACACAATTCAGCCAATAGAGGACAGGAATTTGCTTGATTGACGATGTCAACCCTTCCATATCGTTGCTCTGTACACAGGAGGACTATAGACATAGTGCAAAGAAACTGCTGCTAACTGCTAGCTGCTCACTGCTAGCTGCTGTCGCGCGCGCGCGCCGCCCATAGCAGCAGTTAGCAGCAGTTTCTTTGCACTATAGTCATCTTGTGTGTAACCATCTCGATGCGAAGCACGAATGCTAGTTTGCGCGTCGAAGCGGCGAAGTCCTCCAAGAATTTGCAAATTTTAAGTTGCAAACATTTTTTCCTCCCGAAATATAATTTTTGAGATAACTAAAAATTCATATTCGATATTTTCTTAAAGTTTAAGTTGGCTCCTGGGGAGTTAATTTTAGCGATCAACGTGCTAAATCACCCCACCGAGCGTGATAAATCACTTTAAACTCTATTTTCGATATAATGTTTATAAACGGTCCCGACAGTGTATAGTTGTGGACACAACAAGAAAATTGAGAATAATCTTGTGCGAGGGTAGGGACCCAGATGTCGTTTCTAACCCAAATAAACTTTAAGGAGGCTTCTCATCAGTAGCCGCACCTCCTTACTCGGTTTCTGAACTGGAATTCTATGGGCTTCCAGACGGCCAGACCGAGTATTACCATCCCATCCTTCTAGAGTTCATCACAAGTAGCACCCACCTTGAAGATCTTTGACACCCAGACACACCCCATTGGCGAACAAACTTTGGATATAATCTTACATGCTCCCGAAGGAATCCCTGGTTTATGGTCTTTCTCATCGTCACCAGCACTTTCACTAGGTCACCAGCTCTTTCACTGAAGTCATCAGCCCTTTCATTGAAGTCATCAGATGTGACTCTGATCAACGGTATAGTTGTGGACACAACAAGAAAATTGAGAATAATCTTGTGCGAGGGTAGGGACCCAGATGTCGTTGGTAGTTGAAACCAATTAATCAATTAATTTTTTGACGGATGTCACTCGTCTAAATTTTTTTGGTCATACGTTGTATGACCCGCCGCTCACGAGTGGGCGGCTCCCCTGTGTCGTTTCACCATAGTGAAACGACCGTGGGGGTCGCAACGTGATACAAATTTTTTTCGAAGTAGCGCGCGCCGCTTTCTTCTAGAAATCGAACGTCGGAAATGTCCAGCTACGAAGTAGCGCGCGTGCCGGTTTTATAGTCCATTAACAATGGATATTGAACAATTAGCTTTGGTTAAACTTTGACCATTGTTAATGATCTGGCCCGGCGCGCGCTACTTCATAGCACTTGCCATCGGGCCAACATTTCGAGAAGAAAGCGGCGCGCGCTACTTCGAAGAAATTTAGACGAGTAACATCCGTCAAGTTAAACTTAGAGCAATCGTTAGGGTTTCATTTTAATATTTTTAGTCATGTCTTGTATCACGTGGTGACCCCTACTGTCGCTTCACTATAGTGTATGTATCGTGCGCGGCGGGTCATACAACGTATGACAAGTCATGTCAGGAATTGGGGTCAAATTATATCATATCAGAGGGTTATTGGTTTTAAAGAAAATCAAACAGTCGTTCAGCATTTAGGGCCAACTATAGATCGAGAAAGTGTTCAAAATGTTACGTGACAGTTGACAGTTGACTGTAAAGTGAATATTCATCATTCCAGTTTCCACCTTGGTCAGTTAAATGCGTCACGCATGCATGCAATCACAAATTTAATCAGTGTACTTAATCAATTAATGTAATCGCTTATCGCGCGCAAGCTCAAACCAACTGGAAAGTTTTATTTCTTTAGATATATTGCCTTCATTGCTCTAAGAGCCCTCTCACTTGCAGTAGCGCGCGACCGCCGAAGTGAACCAAGCGCGTCACGCAGTACGCGTAGACACATGGCTATGTGAATTGCCTTCATACAGTGGCTTGATGCTTAATGGCGACTTGTGTCACTTTTACCGACCTCTTTGATTGGCCACTGGTCAAAAAATGTCGATCGAGGGGACGGCAGAAAAGGTCCTCATCACTCATCAAAATCTTTAAAATTTCTTTTCTATTGGCTCAGATTATATATATATATATATTTTTAACGGCTTTCAGTTTCTTTTTTAAATTTCAGTTCATCAGATTTTCCCACTGCTTTTAGTTTGTATTTATTCTCAATTGTATATGATTCGTATTTGTTGTAGTTACTTTAATGATATAATTTCTCAGAATTGATGTAAATAAACGATGCAAAGACTTTCGAAGATCTAATCACAACCGCTTTCTTTTATTGTGTAGAAGTCCAGCCATGAAATATATATATATATATCATATCCCCGCCCAACGCACACTCCCCAAATTGCGCGCATCGCTGTAACTTCTTTCAAACTTCGTAAATCGAGATAATTTATTTTGCAATGTATTCAGAATTAATATTTGCACTTATACAAATTACCTGGATGTTAGAATACTTTTGAAAGGGTACAACAACCTCAAAAACGCTACCGACGTATTACTCCATAAAAAACACAAAAGCATAAGTAGCTTTTGTCGAGGTTGTAGCACTATGTGCTACTAGGCCGCGCATCTTCTCGCAACCACAGATCGTAAGTAAGTAAGTAAGTAAGTAAGTAAAGATTATGACATAACATCATCACAAGTGTCTACAAAATATCATTGCACTAAATAAAAATAATGTAAATAAATATACAGGGTGGGCCAAAAGTCAGTGTGCAAACGTTGGCCTTAATAGCTCAGTCACTGAGTGCCCAATTGAAATACTTCCTTCTGGTATGACTTAGTACTACCACTGGTTCGAGGAATTTGTCAACTCGAAAAATATTCGCGTTCGTTTTTTTCAAATGGAGGTTCATTTTCACATTTTTTTGATAGTTTGGATAATCGGATCAAGCTAAATGTTATTGAATTGTGTTTGGCCATTCGAATTACGTTTGCCCTGAAAGAATGAGAGTTCTAGCTTCTCAGATGACCGAGATATGAAGCATAACAAGCTTGTTCATTACGTGTGATCAGGTGATTGGTTTACCTAATCACGTGATAAGGTGACCCCGTTAACTACCCCGTTAAACATTATGGGAATTGTTAAGGGTGCCCAATTAAGGTGTCGTGTCACGGTGTCACATAATCACCCAGTCAATTTGTTAACGAGATACACAAAATGCTTGTTAACTTCGTCATTTCTAATCCGTTTTGCCTCATTTTTTCAGATCATATGCAACATTTGATAATCTACCGTCTCTAAAAAAATTAGGCGTTCAGGATTTTCAGAGAAAACAATATAGGTGTTTTAATATTGAATGGGCGTGGTCTAAAATATTCGAATTTTCAAATTTTGACGACGGAATCCTCGAACCAGTAAGTACAGTATGCCATCTGCAAAGCAACAGCTCTCAAATATAAAACTCAGCGGAGGTATAAGACCCAACGTTTGCACACTGACTTTTGGCCCACCCTGTATTTTTCCATCAACATTAATAATTTATCAAATTCAATTTAATTAATTAATAAAATCTAATACATTATCTATAAATAATTCATTAATACTTCCCAGTTGAATAAAGATTTATAAAACGCTTCTTTGCCACAAAAGGATGAAACCAAAGATATTCGTTATGTGTCTCCTTATTAACGGGTGATACTCGTAAAATATCTGTTCCATACAAACCTACAAGTCTCCTTATTGCTAAAATAACTGGGTCCTTCAATTTTCCCTAAAACTTCATTCGAAACATTCCAAAAATACAAATCATTAACACTGTTTTTAGAAATCATTTCGTATGCAGATCGGCGAGATGCGAAGAATTGACATCGTGAATCAATTGTCGAGGTGCCTCGAAAGTGATCTTAAACGATTCTCTGTTCAATTTATGAATAAAGTGTCAAACAGTATATATATATATACTGTATATATACAATAAAGTAATTCAAGTGTTGCAATTGGCAGAGCACAATACAGAGGTAACGGAAATTGTCCACTGCTACCAATTTTATATAATATTTGTTCAATTTTGATCGCGAAACGCCAACTAAATGTAACTAAAACTTAGTGCATAATCAAAAAAGTTATAGGCATATTTCCTACGTATCAAATTGGATGTGCTTTTGGCGGATATATAGGAGATATAACCTGCACCTTTTATATTTAGATGGTTTTCCGTTTATCAAAGCTTTGTTTGGGAATACAACTTTGAGTACCTTTATCGTGTCTTGTGCCATCCTCAGTGACCCTGGAAGAATGTCGTTTGAGAAAAATTCAGTCAAAACAGTGAAATTTAGGTCGTGGAAAGCTGAAATTCGAATATGTCCTACCGGTAGGACATATTCAAAATGTTTATTCCATCAAAGTTTTCTCCAGATATTATACTGATTCCAGTACCCTGATGGCGACTTGTGTCACTCTCACCGACCTCACTGATTGGTCACTGGTCAAAATTTCAGTCAAAACCACGAAATTTCGGTTAAGGGGACGGCAGAAAAGGTCCTCTTCAAAAATCTCTTTTTATATTCTGATGATTTTCTGTTTAATATCAAAGCTTTCTTTGGGAATAAAACCTTGAGTACCTCAATCGTGTCTGGTGCCATCCTCAGTGACCCTGTAAGAATGTCATTCGAGAAAAATTCAGTAAAAACAGTGAAATTTGGGTTGTGGAAAGCTGAAATTCGAATATGTGCTACCAGTAGGTAGTTTGAGGAGTCCTCACTCTCCTTGCATCCAACAATGGCATTTCTCTTGTCGCTAATATAAATAATTTTTTATCTATACTTCTTACATGTATCTATAAATCTTTGTTTTACTCACTATATTTTATTGGAAACTCATTGTTGTTATAGTACAGGTATTGAATGTCAGAATCAGCAAAAGATGCAAAGGGAAACAGTAAAGAAGAAAAAGGTGAAGTAACATGGGAGAGCTATGTCCCTGGTTCCTCATTGGCAGCAATTGATGCAAAAATGGCAAAACTTGACAACATGTTCAAAAGCATGTGCAGAAGTGCAGGCAGGTTAGCTTTCGATTATTACACCTAAATAGAATAGTAAAAATGAAAATAAACCCAACTGTGCATATAATATATTGTCTCCTGCCAATGTAAGAGCATTTGAATTCGAATATTACTCAAGACTTGCAAGAAATCTGTCATAGATTGATTAACTTTTTATACCTTATTCTGAATTGCATTTTACCATTGTGCTACTTCAAGCTCATGTCATTGATGATATTTTGTGATCGTTAAATCATCAATAAATGAAATTATTTTTATGTATAATTTAACTTTTACACTCGATAAATCGTTAATTTTCAGGGTCATGGCATATCATCTTGGTGAAATGCCTGCACCAGAACCATCCTCTACATCCCTGATAAGTTGTGCAACAGTAGACGATATAGCCAGCCACTTAAAAACTTGCAAAAATGTCATTTTGTTGACTGGCGCTGGGATCTCTACATCTGCTGGTATCCCAGACTTTAGGAGCCCTGGGTCTGGGGTATATGACAATGTTCAGAAGTATTTGGATAAGTACCAACTTCAGAATGCACAGAAACTGTTTAGCTACGAACTGTTCCAGGAGGATCCTGAACCGTTCTATGCGCTTGCTAGAGAGATGAAATACCCCGACAAAAATGTTCAACCAACATTGGCTCATTATTTCATCAAGTTGTTAAGTGATAAGGGTGTTCTGTTGAGAAATTACACTCAAAATATTGACATGCTCCAATCACAAACAGGTAAATGACTGAACAGAAAGAGAGGAAATGTGTCATTGTCTTTTTTATTTTGTTAAATAAAAGATTTGTAAGTATGAGCAATGAGACTAAAAATTGGACTGAGGAATTTTTATATGGAATGATCTTGTTAAAAGGAATAGCAACCTCAACTCAAAAAGTTTATCTGATTTCCATCTTAAACTAGATTAATTGCTGCTGTGAATTCAGAGAGTGTTTTTTACCACATGAATTTTAACGTATGATCCAAATATGATAAGATCGAAATTTTAGGTATTCCAGACGAAAGGGTATTTGAAGTTCATGGCTCATTTCGTAGTGGAACCTGCATGGAATGCCATGCAAAGTTAGACAAATCACAGGTTAGATTTCCTAATAATTTTAGATTTATGACAACCATATTATATAATTCTTCCACATTGCCGCAATTAAATAATGATAACAAAGCTAATATACTGTATTCAACAATGTTATAATTAAAATACTCTTAACTCCCAGCTGAAGGATGCTATATTCAGTGGTAAAGTAGCTAGATGTACTGGAGCAACAGGTAACGGTGACCACAGGGCTGTCTGTAGTGGTGTTATCAAACCGGACATTGTTATGTTTGGAGAAAGCTTACCTAAGGTAGAGTAGGGACTGTTATTTCATGTTTATAATTTTGAGCAGCGATTTTGCAGAATTTAATAATGTCAAGTTACTAGCACAGTGTTCATATATGAAAATTGAGAAAGTGGTCTCTGAAGCTACAATAGGTGAAAATTCCATAATCCTCTCATATTTTGCGAGAACGTTTTGATGTGACAGCTTATTAGAAACGTCTAAACTCTCTAAAGCATAGTCATATCAAAGATAGACAACTCATCACCACAGTCTGACATGCGAACATAACAATAGTATCTATTAAACTAATTACCAACAATTACATCAGGATTATTTGTGCTCAGTCGGTAATGACGAGGGGAAGTGTGACTTGCTGATCGTGATGGGTACCTCACTGCAAGTTGGCCCAGTTAACCAGATTCCAAACACGATCCCTCGCTCTACTCCTAGACTTCTCATCAACATGGAAAAGGTTTGCTGAAATAAATAATAATTCCTCCTTTTTTTTGTAGTTTTGTATACCTTTTAAGCTGTTGTATTTACTTTTTCCGATGATTCGATTATGTACTTTTTATAATACAGTTGTTTAAAAGGCCAGGGTATTGTGGACTAGTATTGTTTTTCAAATACGTCGATCTAAGAAAGCAGAGAGCTCAATATGGCTTTACATGGGTCTCAAAACGTTCTCATTACCGCATTTCAATACAACTCACATATTATCAACATAAGATCCTATAAAATTCAAACTAAAGGAGTTATTTGTTGTTTTGTATCGAAAAAATATGTCATTGGTCTAGCAACAAAAAAAAGGTTCTATTCAGTCCCTTCTCAATATAGGGATTATTCTAAAAATAAGGCCGGTTTGTGATTCGCTATTTTTAAAAGAAAATTTGTGTAACTAACTTATAAGCTGTTTCATCAAAATAAACCCGTTAAAATAAGTTTTGCTTAAGGTGCTTAAAATATGTTACTTTAACTAAGTACAGGATATATCATATCATGGCAGAGAGTAACACTTTAAAGTTATCTGAATTACTGTAAGACTTTTAAAAACGCACTGTCCCAATCCTGGCAATATATCACCCTGACGTCATAACCATGATGTAATTTAAACTGTTTGCATGCTACAGCAATGTAGATAACAATATTTGACAATATGTTAGTAGGTGCAAGAGAAATTCTCACGTTTACGCAGTTTTACTGTTTCCAGTATTTTAGTGCTTTACTTTGAGGGTTTAGTCGTTGATTATTTTCCCTTTATCCCATGTTATAAAATATAGTCAGGAAAGGAGACAAATACCTCCCGGCCCCCCTCCCGGACCCCTCCCGGCCCCCTCCCGGCCCCCTCCCGGCCCCTCCCGGCCCCCTCCCGGCCCCCTCCCGGCCCCCTCCCGGCCCCCTCCCGGCCCCCTCCCGGCCCCCCTCCCGGCCCCCCTCCCCCTAAATACTTACCATACAATTAAATAAATATAAGAATAAATACCATTCCCAGGTTTGTACAAGTGAAGCAGATTGCAACAACTTGGCAACTCCCATCTTCTTCTTTGATCACCAAGACAACAAGACAGACGTGTTCATGGGAGGAGACATATCTGACAGTTCCTTGATTGAGTTAACTAAGAAGATGGGGTGGTGGGAGGAGATGAAGGAGATGAGCGGGGAACTGGGGGAGGTGGTTGAGCAGTTATTGTGAACAGATTGGTCAGAATAGTGGTAAAGGAACGCGCTGTGATTGGACAATTGGTGGGGAGAGGAGCTTCTTATCGGACAATAAGATGTCTTCATGGGAAATACTGGGACATTGTTTTAACCCATGATACTGTTAGAGCTTAATGGGTTTGACGATTTGGGACAAATTGTTAAGATATGTATTTATATTTCTCATGTAATTTGCGATATTATGTCCCTGTACCTAAATTGAATTTAGCATAATTTAAGATATTCGACGTTATTTTTAGTTGATTATTATTTTCACAGAACCGTTTTATATTTTAAATTTTCAGTACTGGTGTCTGGTACTATTTTTTAGTGATTCAGGGTATAATTTCCTATCATTTACCAAACAAAATGTATATTTTCAATTAACGATACAGATAAAATTTGTGCGTAGAATTTCAGATTATAAATCAAATGAAAATGTATAGTGTACAGATGTTCAGATTGTTTTTGTTATCTTATCGTGTCTAATTATCTAATTATTGAATGACTAAAAACAATATCCTAAATTCTCGGAAAACTCAAGCTCCAGAAAACTGCAAATCTCATTTATTTTACTGTACAGTATACACATGTTTCTATTGCCTGTTTCAGATTTGTCCACGTACATGATGCTTTGCCTTAACTGAAATACAAATTGAATATAGGATATAATTTTATCTGATATAATTTTATCTGACATAATTTTATCTGATATATCCATTTCACCGCACAATAACACGTGACTACCAAGCTTTTCTAAACCCCCTATATTGAGTCCCTCTCTTTTCCTCCCCAGTTGATTAATACCCCCTCTCGTGTTAATCAAACCCCAGGGGGGCTTCCTCCAGTGGGGCTCCTTCAAAGGTACACTCTAAAACATGACCACTACTGCTGCTGTAGTAGTGGTAATGGTACAGCAGTTGCTCTATCAAGCTGCCCTGTCACCTCAACTTTCTCTTTGTACCATTGTTGCCATGTCACCGTTACCAGTGTAGAGAGATGGGGTGAAGAGTGTAGATAGTGTGTAAAGTGAGAAGAGAGTAGAGCTACTACTAAAGGTATTGTTGTATTCTTTATAAGATTGGAGGAGCTGCGATTTGTCGACTTTATATTGTGTAGTTATCTATTGTAGTCTGTAGTATCAGACATTTGTATTTACTGGTAGTTTGTAAATTACAAACTAACTGTGATTACAATCACAGTTGTCAGTATTTTGTTAGTTAATAGTTAATACTTGAATAAATTACAGTTAGTACTTGATACCCTATTATATTAATAAATCTTCACTTCAACACTGACGCTCAAGAAATAGAGACTGGGAAACCTTGGCTGTTGTAATTTTGTCTCCTCCAGCTCCAGTCGGTTGTTTATTTGTTGTTTCTGTATGATACGAACATCAGAGAAGCTCAATATCTTGTCTGGTTATTTTAGACTGGTGATGTTTGAAGACACCCCCCCCCCCCCCCCCCCCCATATCATTGTCCCCTGCCAAATATTTGTAAACATCACATAACAAGCATATAATGTGAGCTAAGTCACATCTTCATTGTTCCTAAATGAATCACCACAGTTAGTCTTTACCAAGGTCTATAGTGCTCGGAGTTTTGTTGCCATGACAGCAAATTAAACATTAATTACGTAATATAATTACCGACCTACATAATATGTGATGACTCCAGGTCCTCTTCTCCTCAATTAATCATCATCAGATTTAGCTACGTGATGTAAATACAAATATAGTTTACATCATGTGTAGTTGCCTCCCCCCACTCAGCAGCCACATGTCCTTGCACCTGGTCACTGCTTCGTCTTACAGTCTGGTTTAACATCTCTCTCTCTCTCTCTCTCTCTTGATCACTACTGCAGATCTCTACTGTGTGATGTTTTACTGTTAGACCTGCTTTACTGTTGGTTAGCTTTCTGTGGAGCGGTGTCGTTAGTGGAGAGTTAGAGGTCTAGTGGGGGGGGGGGGGGGGTACAGTTATGGGGTGTAACAAGACGTGTTATTGGTCTTTGTGGAGATGTGTAGTTAGTAGAAAGATGTAGTTAGTGGGTATAGAATCTGTTATTAGTCGTGTTATTGGTCGTGCTGTTAGTTCGTGCTAACTATTGTGTTTTACGGTGAATTAAACTTTCGTTGTGCTCGGTGAACTGTGCACTGCCTCCGTCATCAATAGTTGAGGCTACTCTCCAGTCTCCATCATCACTAGCTGTTCAACAGGATGCTGTAAAGTTGTTTCTATTGAGTTACTGACAGGAACTAGGTTACTTTAACTCGGGTGCGGTCAAGAAGAGACAAACTTATCATCGGTTATATTTTACTTTACCCAGTCAACAGTAAGGTTATCACCCTTAATTACCCTAATTATAAGGTAATTACCCTAATTGATTGAGTTGTGTTAATGGTGTTTGATATTGCAACTTAGTCTGCTGTACAAACTGCTGGTCTGGTGTTTTAATTCACACAAAGCTTCACGCTTCCGGGCTGATGTTTGCTGGCCTGAGAGGCCCTTTTGTTTGTTCCTTCAAATTGATAGTTGTTGTTTAAACCTTTAAATTTTAGATGTTTGGTTTGAATTGGTTTAATTGTTGTCGATATTTGGTTAGTGAAGTTTTGACATTTACTTTTTGTTTTAAGGAAAGATTAGACGTTCGTTTTTTAACTACCTCTTGTTTAGAACTTTTATTTAATAATAATAATTTGGTTATTTTGTGCAATTTAATTGTTGGTTTGATTTAGTTTAATTTTTTAATTATTTACCGTTTCTAGCATAACACGTAGCGTGAATAGTATGATCAAGGAAAATCAACTCCATCAAATTGTTCGGTTAACTCCTGAGTAAATTTTATATAATGAGTAAAATTCTACACCAAAATGAACAATTCACTGCAGTCTTATTATCATTGATCGATTATAATATAATTATTATGAAAGTAACAGTATTCTTCCAATGATTAGAAGCAAATTGTTTGCAACCGTGTTTAATTTACAAAAGTGGTCATATCACCCCTGTATGACCACTCCTCAGATTTCACACTTTGAACTCGTATTTCATGTATTTTCGATAAGGTAAAATGATTGCTATCCAGATAAACCCACCACATCAGATGAACGTTGAGTAAAAGCAGCTGTAACATTAAACTTAAGGGTCCCGCCCTACTGCAACATGCACACTTCTCAATTCAGCTTACACTCCTCCCTCTCTCTTATAATATATAAATAGCACCTTGTCAAATACTACTGTTATGATATGTTGTCTGTATGCTAGTCCTGCTGTGCGTGGCCATTACTTTGTAGTTTCTTGTTATCCCTAATTGAGCAATTTAGACTGAATTGCTCAATTAGAGTACATATAGGCCCGCAAGAAACTACAAAGTAATAACCAAGTTGTAAGCACTATCAGCGAAGTGGCACAATTTAAAATCTGCTACTAGGTTAAAATGTATCCTTCTTGTAAGCCACCTCTCAATTATAGTGGTCACAGCGCCTCTGTTCTATAATGATGTCACACAGAATACACTCTAATTGAGATTCTATTTCCGGATTGTTGCTTCACTTCACACCCAGGTTCTCTAACCTGCGGTCTGATCCAGGGTATACTATAGTAGTAGACTATATAATAGTAGACTCTATAGTATATAGTCTATATTATCATTGTAATGACTGTTACACTGCAGGTATTGAGTATTGTTCTCCATTGTAGGGATCTAACAGGGCTACAGCTTTACAACAGGGGCTATCTCTATTGTATTGTGGAGACTGGAGAGGTTACCCCAGGTGGGCTCTGGAGGGGGTTGTTAAGTTGCTGTGTTACTTACTACTTAAAGGTGTTGTTAAGTGTTACTTAAAGTTGTTGTTAAGTGTTACTTGTAGCAACTAGTATAGCAAGTGTTGTTAGTAGTTCTGTGGATTGTTGTTAGTGGCCGTGGTTCTGGAGTTGTAAAGATTTGTGTCTAGATTTGTCTAGAATAAACGACCGAATTCCGTGCCAGAAAAATACGGAGACAAGATTCGAACCTTGACCAACTGGCAACTATGTACTTGATTCTGGAAATATCCTGCTTGCGTAACACGTGATACGTAAATATATTTACATATACAGCTCATTTCTCTAGCCGCAAACCTTTCCATTTTCCTACAGCCGGGAATAAGAGTCTTAACTGCAGGCGACTGACAGGTTTTTATAACTTAACCAATCATTGTTTCATTCACACTTACGAATGATTTAATCATGATTCCGAGGAGTCTTACAAGGTTTCTAACAAGGTTTCTAACAGAGAACTTAGTTATGATACAATAACCTAATCGTAAAACGATCGCTTTATTTCCGGAGTTCTATTTTACCATGTTTAAAGTTGCTACACTCATGGCTGCTCGTGTTAAGTTCTCCTTTTTGTGCATCTTGTGCAACACTTTACGCAACTTAATTAAGCTATTCATTTACACTTATTTATAATATAATATCTGAGTAGAGTTGAAAGTGTTAAACCCCTTAATATTGTCAACACTTATCGTATCTCTCAATAAGACGTGAGTTTCGAGAGGTATTGTAGGGTTTCTGAATATATGCTATACAGTAGTATTAGGTATTTGTAGAAGGTGCATAGTGCTTTTTATCCTTCGCATGTAATTACATTCTTGACTAATGTTTCCTGTTTAGTGTCCTATTAATTATTTAATGTCCTTGAATGTTGTTCATCTGCAAGTGCCATTAGCTAATTATCAAAGTTCTTAAGCCAGTTTCCCACGCCTATTTTAGGTTGTTACCAGTGAATTGCTAGCTGGCAACCGATTAGTAAGTCGTTAAAATTAAATCAACATGCAATTGTTATAGATCTGAATCTACAGTCCTAAAGTGTTCAGCCTAATGTAGTTATTACACGCTAATTGAACTATAATTACACCCTAATTGGACTATAATTACACCCTAATTGGACTATAATTACACCCTAATTGGACCATAACTTCACAGATTGTTCCACTAGTCCCCTAGCAGCTGTACAAGGTAACTTGATAGGGTCTCTTTACCTGCCACTAAACTAATCAGTTTTCATTATATTATCTCACAATGTACTATAAGAGATACCAAGTGTGTGTGTGTGTGAGTTACGAGCCCCCAATTAAATGATAACTGCCGTTGTTTTATGATGTCTGACTGTGGAATGTGTGTTTGTTGGATTGTCTGATCCCAATTGCTCTGCTTCTGTCTTTGATACACTTCTTTAGTTCGGATGTGATTGGTATGATCTATTGATCAGTTTGTGTAGTCTTGTTAAAGGGAAATATGTTGTTGTTGTTGTGTTTGTGTAAAATGTAACAGTTTACAAACCCCTCCTCCTAACACATAGTGTTGTAGTTGAGTAACACACAGTGTTGTAGTTGAGTAACACACAGTGTTGTTGTTGAGTAACACATAGTGTTGTAGTTGAGTAACACATAGTGTTGTAGTTGAGTAACATATAGTGTTGTAGTT